TTTTTTGTTTTTTTTTTTTTTTTTTTTTTAACTGGCTCAAAACGACGTCGTTTTGAGGCCAGGTCATTTAAAAAAAAATTGACTGAGCCTTTGCCAAACGACGTCGTTTGGCAAGGCAGTTTTTAAAAAAAAATTATGCGCAGCAAGCTTCCTCTTCTCCTGGGACTTTCATCGAGCAGATGGCGTGCATCCAAGGGGGCTTCCAGCAGCTGTCCAAGGGGGCTTCAATGGAGTCCCAGGCCATTTTTCCAACCTTCCAAGGGGTCGTCCGACCCCTGTTGTCCCAACGTGGATCCGCCACTGTTTTCTGCCTACAAAGTGCATGTGTAGTTGAGGTGGGGGGTATGTGGGTGTGTTTGTTGACAAGACGTGGAAACAGGACAAGATTGTATTATGGATTTTGAAGGACTATCAAAACCATGTGTGGGTTAAGGAGACTATTAGCTTGATGTTAGAAAAAACATATGGCGAAGGTGGGTGCTACGTTGAAGCTCTAGGTACAATTCACACGGGTGAGCTTGCACTCGTTCACTATTTAAATGGACTTACACCGGGGTCCACCCCTATTGCATCTCTATGATATGAAGACCAAACAATTTAGAATAATTGATTTTGTTTTTCCCGATAGTGAAACGATGTATGATATTAATTTAAGTAATATAGTCAAAGGATGTATGGCCTAATATTACATAAATTGCTAGCTATAAATGTCATATTTCACCATCATCTATTATCAAATATATGCAATTTCCCTTTTTTTTTCCCACAACGAAGAATACTGTATATATGTGTGTGTGTTTTTTGGGTCGAAAGTAGAGGTACAATGTTCATGCTCTTGATTAGAATTAATTATTGTTTTTCTCGATATTCACAACAAATCAAACAAATACATGGCTCTATATAATTCTGCATTGTGGCTATTGATCAACTGCACTCAAAAAATTTGTATTGAATGGCCTCGGCATTTATAACTGATATATGATAAACGACACAGAAACGACACTTCCAAAGGCATAAATGACAGAAACGAGACTTCCAAAGGCAGGCAGGCAGTCACATCCTCAGGAGCGACCTCGGCTTGAAATACAGATTCTTCTTTTTTCCTTCCCTTTCTTGGGGGTTAATAATCTTTTCCTTCATGAAAACAATTGGACGATGGCTGGCTTAGGAGCAAACAATCCAACCTTAACACATCCACAAAAATCTTCACAGAGCTCGTACCATTTGAATAGCATTCCTTTGATCCTGCGTCAGGCTCTGCAGTTGAAAAAAATACAAGATATTACATTCTCAGCAGTCATGCATAACTACACCAGATCAAAGGAGAGTCGAATTCACTTTTCTTTGGGTACAAAAATTGAATCACTTTTAGTAAATGCTTTTGACTGATTGAATCGGAATGAAATGGATTATTGAAGTTCACCTGGAAAATATGATCAAACATTTGTCTTTCACTCTGAGAAAAGTTTACGAAAAACTCCGCAAGATAGTTCGCCAGATTAATCTGTAAGGTGTTATGAAATAGTTAATATATTTAAAATGACTTATGATGCTTAGCAAATGTAAATAGATCCACAAGATACCTGGTTAAGGGGATCAGCCACAGTTAGTTGATCATCTTCATACCTATCCTCCTCCTCATCCTTTCAGAACATGCTAAGTTTTGTAAGTTATCCTGAGGAATTTCAATAAATATACAAGTAACAACAAAGTACCTTATTAAATGCTTTTGCTATTGCTTCAAGATGTTGGTGTGAGGGTCTGCCGGAGGATGTAACACCAGCTGAATACATCAAGTCCTTATCTTGGTTCAAAGCTAAATGTTTATTGCTACCCAAGTAATCTTTGGCAAATGATTAATTACCTCATTATCACCAGCTACAACCTGTTCTTGGATTTCAACCAATGCATCTGCCAGTAAAGCCATTATCTGCACACACAAAAAGGGGCAGGAGAATGAGAAAAGGCTTCTAAAACTGAACCTGAAGGTTGCCGAAAGCACAAGCGTTAATGACAAACTTCCTTGTAGAATGGCTAAAGTCATCAAGCCAGGCACAATCGTGCACTAACCAAAATAAGGTTACACTGAAACATAATTATTAGGAGACAAAAGAAAGTCTGCCTTTAAAGCTTCCCCTAGGGGACTAGGCACCATATATAACCGTCATGGTACTTAGGCCATGCAAAAGTTGCTTGCTATGACAACTCTAGCATAGCAAAGTCCTGTACAGTCACAACTTTCTCAGCTCCAAATTAATCTTCTGTTTGTCAAAAAATAAATAAATAAATAAAAATACCTTTGCAGGAAGTGGCACCACAGTCCACTGATCTGGAGTTAATTTAGCTTTTGAGCGAGTGGTTATTCCAGCAGCAGACTTTAGAAAAGCAAGAAGAGCAAGTTCTTGAATCAACAAGCGCATTTGAGAAAATAAACATGTGCACGAAATTAAAAAGTTTCAGTAGAACCTGAAATAAATATCCTTGCACGTTAATTTTTGCTAATTCAGCATGCCTAGATGATAGTAATAAGGCCAAAGCAGTAGTAGTGACTTTAATTTGGTAAGCCCCCTGGATCTCACCTGCACTCAGTTAACATGTGGAGAAATATATTATATCACTCTCACATAGCCTCTAACAAGTCTTGGCCTCTTCAGAACATTAAATGGCTCAGATAAAATTTTATTTAAACAAGATACAAATACAGATCAAATGATTGCACACGTGTATGCTCAAAGCCTCTTCCGCTAACTACTAAGTGAAAATATTAAATAATTGTAATCGTATTAGATGTTACTTAGCCATACACATTGGATTTTGATTGTGTTGTCACTTAGCCACCTCTTGATATTACATCCAATTCAAAAACTCATCTTCAATCTATAACCCAAGACTACAACTTTGAGATGCAACTGAGCATACACATCGGAAATTTGATCATGCGCTGAAGATAAGATAAGATGCAACGTTTTGCTGGGGAAAGGATTGGGTTTGAGCAATTACATTTAATAAATCATATGTTGCATCAATCAGAGAATTCCAGTCCAAATTTGCATTTTGATCCAGCTCCAATTATATGACATTGACAAGTAAACAATAATATGAAAAACATACCTTGCTGCTGAGTCCATTCTGACATTAAATAGACGAAAGAATTATCATAGCCTTCAGCTGGGATGGTGACCAGGAGGTCAATAAACTGTTCAACTTTAGGGGCACTCAAGTGGACCTATTAAATACAAAATTAAAAAATTAATCCATATAAGGTATGGCTAGTTATGCCTGATCCATACTAGACCAGGTAAAATATAACATAAAATGCAAAGTAAAGATGAGGAAGACTTTAGTAAGGTAGAAGCTGCAAACATTAACCGACTAAAGAAGTACTTGCATTGGGAAATAAGCATGGTATATGAAATTGACTGTAGGATATTCACAATGTAAAATCTTGTTATGCACTAGGGATAAAATAAGTGAAACCTTCAAAGGACAAAAGTTTATACATGAATTATAATTCTACTTGACATCATTAAAGCATCAAATAAAACTATATACTAGTGTGTGACAATAAGCTAAAAAGTGGCCACCAAAGGAACTCACAAAGATGAACAGTTGAGATACATACCAATCGAGCAAAAATGAGTAGCAGTGAGCTTCTCAATCCTGCTATTTGAGCAGATTGCATGCGCCTAATAAGAGCAGCAACCAGGTCTCGAATATGGGGTGCCATCTGTGATGGCAGATGCAAAATAAGTTGCAGAATGTAGCTCCCAACAAAAAGAGAACCAGAGCTATCCAAATCAGGGTCTAGAAGCCTGCACTCAGTTTTGAAACATCCAGCTTTCAGTAACTAGTGTCCACAAAAATCCTATGGATATTATTGTGATGATCAATCACCCTTTAAAAAACAATATAAATTCAATGCTCTACCAAAACGAAATCCGAAAGTATATAAGGAATATCATCAGAACCTGACTTATTTTCTACATACAAGAAAACATGTAATTTTCATATAAAGCAGAAACTTGCAGAGCATCATCGGTTGAATCCATCACAATGGTGAACAAGTACGCATTGGCTTTATTAACCTCCAAACAAGAATGGCCTCAAAGAAAATGTCATGAAAATAAAAACAAAACAGGTCCCCCACTAACAGAGATTTTGAGGAAGGGTACCCATCAGCACTCCATTTCCAGTTGAGACCACTAAGCACATGGCAAATTTGAACCAAAGAACTAAACAAGAGTTTGCAAGACATTATGAAACACAAAAATGCAGTTTGAAAAAGAAGCTGGTTACCTTGATGCCGCATCAAGCAATCTTCTCATTGTATTTTCCAAATCACCACTCCAAGCAAGCACATCTTGTCTTCCACCAGATACAAAAGCAGCTAAACATTCCGTTGCATTCTGGCCAAAGTCGTCACAACAAACTTGAGTCATTGACATACATTAGATATGTAGTGGCACTTCAAACTTAGTTATGGGGGAGAGAGAGAGAGAGAGAAGTAGAAGATTACCTGCATTTCACTATGATCGTCACTTTGAAGGACTATTCGTATAACAGTATCAAAACAGGCATCATATAATGTTCTCACCACATCAATAGGAGCATTCTGCACCAACGCTATCGCAAAATTTAATTAAAACTGTGGTAATACAACCAAGATGCTGTCTAAAGATAAAACAGGAAAGCCAAGAACCGAGGAAAATAAGGGATGAATATCCAATGAAGCATATCTCACTTTCAATAACATTGTTACCAGATCCACTGATCCAGCTACTAATCCATCAGGCTGCTGTTGGGGCTGAAAATTACCATCAAGATGCATCAAAAATAAATACTTTTCTCCCCACAACCCACCAAAAAAAGCACAATGAGAATATAAATCCATATTACAGACACTCTTACAACCCATACTTTATTCAGGACTGGCCAAACATATGGTAAAACTCGAGAAACCAGAGGACGAATACAACCAGGAGCATTCTTCAGTGTCTGGAGTAAGTTAATTAAAAAACAACAGTATGGTTAATTTAAAAAGTAGATCATGAAAATCATTTAACTAATCAAACACCCAATCCGCATGATTAATAGTAATATATAAGTGAAATGTTTGTATGTACACTCAAACATTGTAAGTGGGCATTTAAATATGTTATTACCAACAATGCTCCACATAGTTACCTCCATAACTTCAATTGCATCAATACAGATAAAAGGATCGGAAATGTGTGATGCCCACATGTTCAGGACAACAGGAGAGATGATAGGCTCTATTGATGCCGATAATTCGTAACCTATCATTAGTGTAAAACAAAGCATGGAGACAGATAACCTATTAAATGTAAAAAGAGGATACAATAAAAGGGCAAAATATAATATAAAGCAAGCTTACAAATTCAACCAACTCCATCAAGATAAAAGGAAATGATAATATTCATACTACCTTTAAAACTTACCGGCCTTAATTGCCTCTTGCAGTGTTTCAAGTACCAAGTGCAAGGTTTCATCAGATGCCTGAAACCAGAATTACAGTACATTCTTAAAACAAGTACAACAATAAAACTAAGGTTTATGCTCGCTGTAAATTACCTGATTAAGAAGATCTGACAGTGATTGAAACAAACTCATCAGATGTGGGTGAATTATAACTTTATTTGTTTCAGGTAGGAGCTCAGAAAGAGCCCTGCAGGCACCTACTTTGACAGGTGGGGGCCTGACAACAGAACAATGTCAAGAAAATATATATTTGATACAAGTTACTCGTGTACATATATATATCAGAGAGGGAGAGAAAGTTACACATCCATGCTAATTGCTTTGATAGCAGCATAGAGAAAGTGCTCAAGAACTCCATGGCTGATCTGTAAAATATTAGAAATGTTATAAAGATATTTCCAAATGATCTAACTTCAAAATAGATAAGGAAATATTGCAAAAGTTACCACAGAGGAGAATTTAGCAACTGATGAAAAGATACGAGAATATAGAAAGGGATATTGATGTACATCTGCAAAACAGAAAGTATTCACTGATGAATGAAATGAACCTTTTATTTTTTTTCTCTTTTTTTTAGACAAAAAAGGGGAGAGGGGGGTTATTGCAGAGAAGTGATAACCTAATCCAATGTCTTCCGTGATTATTTGCTCCAGTAGGTTTCCTGAGCCAACTCTTGTCAGTTCTGAATCCTGTAAACTAAAATTAATCATAGTATACCAACTTCCAAATAGGAATTGCATAACATTCATGAAGAACAGAAGCTGCGCCAATCATCAGAACCTTAACAAAACACAATAACTAGCCCTTCAAAACAAACAAAAAAGCACAAACCTCTGCTTCAAGCAATTGTTCTGATAGAGAAGCCAAAGCAAAAAGAGTAGCCTCCCTTATCTGATAGTACATACAACCCAAAAGAAGGGGGGGAAGTTAACAGAGGAGAAAACTGAACAAACATAGGGAAAAATTTCTACTTACTCTCCACCAAATTGGAGAACCAGCATCCTTTTCTCTTTGAGACTCACTAAAACGCTTTTTTGCGGCCTCAATGATGGCGCTGATTCCTTCTGTACCACATGAATTCACCACTTCTTCAAGCAAAAGTGCACCTGGAAAAAAAACAGTGCTATTAAAAGCTCAAGTACGTCAGAAGAAACATGTCATTCCACTTCTAAAGCTGATAACAGTGAGATGCAGTCAAATGATCTGTACAATCACATATTCCACTTCTCTTAGATTGCCAGGGATTCTCTGAGGCACACTGCAGAACATGCTATGCTTAACAAGCAACCAAATACAGAGCAATAAATTTTTACAATAAATTCAAAATTATAATCTTCAAAAGGAAAGGAGAAGAGCACATGGCATATTGAAGGTTACAAATCAACAACTACTATTGCTAGAATAACACACACAGATTATACCCCTCATCATCAGTAATCGTTCCGCTACCCATGAGTTCTAGCTCAAGTGGCATTTGGGTGGATTGGGAAGGTGGTAGTTCTAGGTCTGGGTTCCGCCAAAATGCTGAGTTTTAGGGTGCAGTGACTCAAAATAAAAATCATTATCCAAAAATGACTACTTTTTTCATAAGTTAGAAGACTAACCCTTTCTGCATGGGTAGACATTGATCAAGATGAAGGTATAATGGTCTTTCTCCATCCAAAAATGACTTAGTTTCAAACTTTTGGAAACTGTTGGCATACCGATTTTCAATAAGGATGATAAAACCAGATGCTTTCTGGACAGACTTATTGTTCATAGATATATTCCATATCAGTTCAATTTCATGATAAGTTCAATGTTTTCCTCTAAATTCAACATCATTTGCACTTATGATGTTCCAACTAACAAATTGACCCATGCTGTAAACTCCAATCTTCAGACCACAAAGTTATGGTTGCCATAAGAAGAATTAACAAGCATGTGAGATGCATAATGTAAGCATACCAGAAACACGACAGCTATAAGTAACATCATCTTCATCAGCTACAAATTGGTTGGCATCCACTGACCAAGTATGAACCTAAAACAAATGACAATTAAAAAACAACAAATGATACTAGAAATAAAAGTCATTCAACTGAAGGTTATAATAGCACAAGAAGACATGAGATTTCAAATATAATTTATAATACTAGAGGAGGAATTATGTCCTCAGCGAGTAAAAAGAAAAAAGAAAGAAGGCATTAAATGAGATGACAACAACTTAGGGGCACATATGAGTTAAATAATTATAATGAATTAAGTGGGTTTCAGTGTTTAGTCTCACATAGCAAAATAGAGAGCCATCTTGAGGAAGGTGGATTATGTGGTAGGGTCAAATAAAGAGTAATCTTGATGAAAGGAACCGAAATTCCAAAATCAAATTAAGATGCCTGAGGACGTGATACATTTTGGAGTCAAAGGAAATGATCATGGGAAAATGGAAGTCTAGAAAACCAGAGGGATAATAATAACCACAAGTTAAACAAGACAGAAAAGTAGATTTAGAATGTGAAGGTAAGTGAGACCATTTTTCTTTTGGATAAGGCAAAAGTATTTATTATAGAGAAGGAAGAACAATAAGAGCTAAACAAGAAGTCCATATCCATGTTAACGTCTTTATGAAATACAGATAAGAGAGACATTTTAATGAAATACAGAGACAATTTTATCTTCAGTTATTCTATGCAAAGAGAATTTAGGACCATTAAGGTGTTCAATTTTCAAGCAAAAGAATTTGGAGTTCATTAACACTATGATCTGAATATGAACAAATTGAACACCTTTTCTGCTGGACCATTCAGTCCATTACATAAGATGTACAAACAAGGAACAGACAAAAGAAGAGCAAAGCAAAAACCCACCTGTTGTTCTGTTATTTGGAGAAAAGCGATGGTGTAATATGTCAACTCTTCCACATTATTCATAATGACCTAGAAGAAAAGGGGAGCAAAGAGACCTTACTATGATAAAAGAAGGTAGGCTATAAGGAAGGAAACAAGTAGAAATGGGTTTCAAAATCTTTGAAGCATACCTTTCCCAATTTAGCGCTACCCACAATGGTCAACAGAAACTCAAACAACTATGTATGCAAAATATTTAAGTTAGAAACAAATCTCCACAAACTAAAAGAAGAGAGAGAGAGGGGGGGAGGGGAGAGAATAGTGCATCAAAATAAAAGCAATTTTGATCATTTTGAGCGGCGTACAAGCGCATAAGATAATATCTGCAATTACCATAGATTAACTACCTGGACGACAAAGGAATCAAGGCTTTTCTCGGCCCCATCAGAATCATATCTTCCATCAAATGGATCTTCTGTACCTTCAATAGATGATCGCACATATACTCCAAGAGAAGTCATAAAGGTTTGCCACAATGGTCCTACAATAACTGCAATAAACAAGGTCTATTCAGCACAATATATGAAAACTAGACTTATCAATGAGCAGAACAAGAATCTATATGGTTTACGTCTGATTCATTGGTTGACAAGAATGAATAACTTACTCATAAATTCACTTTCAATGAGGCTAGGAAAGTTCTGAACAAACTGATTCAAACACTTCAATACCTAATGATAAAGGCACAAATAAACCACAAATCAAATGCCCCATTCTAATTAGAGTATACACATCATGACAGATTTTTTATCAAACAACCAAAGCAACCTCCGTTCTTATGCTCCAATCATCGGGATCTTCAGATTGCAGAGGATGATTGAGGATTTTAGAGAATTGATCCATCCATGGCTTAACCATTGGCACTATTAATGCACTGGTTTCCGTCTGAACATAAACATCTTAATCTGTTAATTCATAATAGAAGAAGCTTAATATACCACACATCATATCCTGGGAAGTTAATTAGAATAGACAAGAGAATACCTTATATACACCACTCATCACCCCCAACATGGAGATACAAGAATAAACAATTGAAAGAGCTTTTGAGCATAAATATTTGTCATACATCTGCACAAACAAATCTCACATCAAAGCACAGAATAAATGGAAGGATGCTTGTATTCAAGAAACCAAATATCCACAAATTTGACGTCTGTATATATAAAACAGGAAGCACTATCTGTCCCTCATGATACAAGTCAAGGGAGGCGAGCAGCCAAAAAGATATAAAGCATAAGATAGCTTAGGTCCATTCATGAGAAGACAAACATGAAACCCCCAAAAAATGTGCAACAAAAATGCATGTGGACATGAAATATAAATCTTTCCGAAACATCTCAAATTAGTAACAACTCAGTTACTGAAAAGTGCCTCAAATTTCATGAAAACTGTTTCCTCCTGAAAAAAATTCAGAAACCACAGTTTATGTGTACAAGAACATGGAAATATTCACACAGGCTCACATAACAGACATTCTACACAGAAACTTTAATTCCCTTTCTTTCGAGAAGCAACCACTGAAAAAATGGAGCACAGGTGCTAAGAAGACCTTGAATGAATGACAATTCAATGAAAAATAAAACAATTTTATAAAATTATAAAAAATTAAAAATAAATTTATTATAAAATTAAAAAAAATAAAAAGCCAACCTCAGGAGATGATACAATTTTAAGCAAGCATGGGAACAAGGCTGGTACTAATGTTGGAACCACTGTATCATCCAAGTCAACAGACAGAAGAGCCAAGCACCTTAGAGCACCATGTACTACAAATTTGAGAACAAATACAAATCTTCAGCAACAAACTTATTAAGCTCCCAAATATAAAACAGCCGCAACAAACAATTTAAAGAAACTTGACATTTCTGATACTTATTTTCAACAACTACCCTAGGCAATACCACTAACTTGAGAACCTTATGAGAAAGATAGAAATTTCAAATTAGTGCTGTATGGTTACACATTGAGAGAGAGAGAGAGAGAGAGGCCAAATGAAGGCTTACCTCCATTCATATTAGTTTGATCATTTATCAACTTCATTAGGTACGGTAATAAGTCAGGCCAAACCTCTGGCCAGTCATAAACTGCTATAGATGCAACAGCCATACTAATTGCTGTACAGATTTTCCTGTGAGAATCATCCAAAGACAACAACAGAAGTCTGCGTACAACTGCCTGAAAATGCAAAAATGACCTAATTAGATAAGGAAGGCAGAAAAACTTGTGTACAAGTAAGCCCTAAAAACATAAGTAAACATATAAGTGATAACTCCAGAGCAACGTAGGGAAAAGAGGGGAAGAAGAAAAAAAAACCAACAAATACAAAGGTAGGTAATTAAAATTAGTGAAACATGACAGGCTCATTGCTCAAGAAAAAAGATCCTCTTTCAATAGAAGTACAAATACCAAAGATGTCAACAGCTGAAAATACCTTCTCGTCATTTGAAACAGCAGGATGTTCAAATGCTTCCTCAGCCTCATGCCAGTGTTTCTTAATAAACTGCTTAAGAAGGACAGCAGCTAGGTACAAGTATGTTAAGCCTCACAAGAGAACAAATGAAAGAAAAAAAGAAAATCCCTGCTGCATGCAACAGTGAGACCTTTAACCAAAGCATCCAGCCTGCAAAATATAGCTCCTGCACATCTTTTCATCTTTTAGGGGAAAAGGGGTTAAAGTAAAAAATCAACCTCGCATTTGCTTTACATTCTCCTTATAGAAGAATAAAACAATGAAGACAAAGAAGAGAGCAAAGAAGACGATGGCACTAATAAACAGGCAACTTCCTAATCCCTGTTCTGTTATCAAAGATGAAACATGCAAGAGAAGATATTTAACTATAAACTACAGAATCACAATTAGAAAAATAAAATAAAAATAGAAGCTTGTGATGGTACATAAAGAACCATAATAATAATAAAGGATATCTGGCGCAACCCTAATGGGAGCTCCCTGTTAGCAGCAACCTTGGATAACGCACTTCCAAAACCTTCAGTCAATTAGAACCCGTCAAACAATTCCTAAATGTTGCCGTGATCCATAAGCAGAATAACGAAATCAAATATGGAATGCAAAAGAATATTCACTCCACCAACCAGATTTGCGACCAACTCATAGGTGCATTCATATAGAATTTCATTTCTTTCATTTTTCATTTTTCCACATTTCAGCTAGAATTTCAAATGACCAATCAAACTAAAACTAAAACTAAAGCGCAGCTTGTGTCCTAGCATGAGAAAAGCCAAACCACAATTCATTTTATTCAAATTTCGTCAAAGGGTGTTGATTGCAGATAAAACTGGAACAATGAAAAAGGAGAAAGCTAAAATTAAAGCGAGGGTTTCAGGTGAGGGACCTGGTTGCAGAGAAGCCTGATTAAGCGAAGCTTCGGCGAATGAGCGAACCTCGTGATTAGGGTCGAGAGTAGCAGACAAGCAATTGAGCAGCCATTGCTGATCTTCATCGACGACGATATTGAAATTCGCCATCGTAACTCCAAAACCGAAACCCTAATCCGATTTAAACTGTTGAAGTAATAGCTTTTATCTTTCTTTCTTTTACTTTTCTATATTTGTTTTTAAATAATTTATGTTTCAGTTCTGAGTAGGTTTTGTTTTTCCCGCCTCGAAATGAATCGGAGAGAGAAGCAGGTTGGAAGTGGATTTTGCAGTTTGGTAGGCGGCTGGCTTATATAGGGTGAGATTCCGACACTCTAGTATAGTGCAGTGACACAACCGTAAATTAGTTGGTACTGCGTAGCGCAAATATATAGAGTTGGGAAAATCACGCTGTTAAAAGCCCAAGTCAAACAATGCCATTTATATTTGGGCTCAGTTACATTATATGGGCCTAACCCCAGAGGCTCTCTTTTTTTTTCTTTTTTTCTACTTTTTTTTTTAATTGAAGGGATTCAAATCATGACCGATCATCTCATTATCCCCCCCAAGAGATTTGTTTTATTACTACACATTGTAGACCAATTATTACCAGTCACCTATCTAAAATATAATGTAATTAAGTTAGGAATATAAACTTCAATCCTTTAGTTTTCATTATTAAGTATATGAAAAATAAAATGTCTTAATGACTGATTCGATCATTCTACTAACATTAGCTTCTTAAAATACATTGTTAGCTCATCTTTAACCATCTAATGGTGATTGCAAGAAGTAAACCTTCAATCATCTCACGCTCGTTTACAAATGGCAATGTACGGCATCCTATAAACTCTCTCTTTTTTGAAATTGAAGTGTTAAGTAATTCAAGTAAATAATAGTCATTATATCATCAAAGATGTAACATTTGAACCAGCAAAGCAATCTCTATATACAACTATGGCATTCCATTACATGGACATGGGATGTAGACGAATCTTGGAAAATGTAGGGCAAAGTTTTATCATTCCCATTTGCTCCTAATCTGGTGTGTGTGCTTGAAATCATACGTGAGTAGCGCAAAGCTTCCATTCACAGACATTCTCTTCAACACAAACCTCTCTACCAACACATAGCAACCAAATCTCTTCCACATGCCTCCTGTCCCTCCAAACTCTTCCACCCTCTCCATTCTCACTTGCCTTTCATCTCCACCAACCCATCCAACTCTCTTTTGCTCCCATTTCATTCTCTCCACAATTTTCATGTTCAACCCTACACTTGTTTCGCCTCCCACACCATCAAAACTCTTAAACCACATGAACCCATCACCACTCACATTTCTTTCATCCCAAATAGCTTCACTTCCACCAACAAAAACCACCTCTCTTCGAGCAAAAGCATCCACAAACACAGCACCTTTATTTTTCCCCTCAACATTTTCGTTAACGCTATCGAAAATCTTTTCCCATCTTTGCTCAAGTCGTATTTCATAGAACATGCATTTTTTCATTTGTTCCTTCAGCCTCACCCCTCCTTCCTTGACAAACATGAAAGGACAATACCACTTACCTACAGACACCGCTTCAGAGCAATCTTGTGATAGTGGAAAATTGAACCCTGGAAGGCTTGCTCGTAGTGAAGAGTTGAGCCCTGGGGCTTCACCCAATTGGTAATCATAAGGTGTGCGCCTGGTCACAATCCACCCTTTTGTCCTCAAGAATTTAGGAGGAAACCCATCTGGAGCAACAGACTTGGCAGTAAAACTACCCTTGTAGTAGTTATCCCCAGTAAGTATCTCAACTTGCTGATATATGTCTGACGGATCCAAAGGTTTTGGATTAACATCTCGTACAGAGCGTCTGTTGAACAAGCCAGTCCCCATGTCCTCTTCCCTTGAATTTGTGCATGCTTCCCTGCAAATTAAGTTCAGTTTTTTTCTGTGTGACCCGGTAGCGTGAAAATAAATTATAAGAATAGTGTATATAAGATGCACATATATACCCTTTATGCCTCCCTCTCCGGTGGATCACATGGTATATGTTGGAAGACAAGGGCTGATCGAGCACTGGAATGAATGCAACAGGGTCGTCATCTGAGCCATATCCAACTGTTAGATCCTCATTCTGAGGGAAAGGCGTGTCTCTAACCCGGTTATCAATGCATCCGCAACATGATACCTCATCGGATTCTTCATCATGGAGCACAAGATAACCAGAATTTGGCCCCTCTGGGGGTGGTAAGGACAGTGACTCAGGTGACCTTCTATACATAGACAGAGGCCTTGTCACATACATTTTGTTGGGTGTTACTTGTTGCCAAAGGAATTAGAAGACAGTGAATGAGAAAAGGAAGAGCAGCTCACTTTCAATTTGCTTGATGAAAATGTGATTTCAGTGATTATTTATTTATAGCATTTCCTTGTGTTCCATGACTTCAAACATTTGAGAACGTACGTTAACTCCTGATGGAGATTTTTCTGATGGTTGTGTTGTCAAATCTTGACTGGTCTGCTGTTGGTGTTTGTTTGTCCTTCCAGCTCAAAGCAAAGCCAAGTCAGAATTTGTAGCATATACTAGGAAGGTTCGCACATTTCCTTATCACCCTACACTAGCAAGCTCTACAAGCTCTCAATGTCTTGTCTTTTAGTAATAAGCAGCATCTGTTTGGAAAGGTGCATTAAGTCTTCAAGTTTGATGTTTGTTTGTGGCACTACTACAAAAAAGGCAAAAGACAACGGGAATTCACCGTCATGTATTCGGTTTTTAAATCGTCGTGAAATTGACCGACATCTATTTGAGTGTCAAACTACGACGGCTTTTCACCACCGTTGTTTATCTGTAATGACGACGGTTTTTAAAGAAAATCGTCGTTGTTTAGAGGTAAAGATCGTTAATTATAGGAAAAAAGATGACTGTTTTTAATAAAACCGTCGTGTATTGTATGTAAAGATGACGATTTTTTATGAAAACCGTCATGGATTGTTTATAAAGACGATGGTTGTTTTATAAAAACCGTCATCTTTACATTCAATAGACGACCTTTTTTAAAATTTAAAAAGATCATCTTTACTTAACAATAGACGACCTTTTTTAAAAAAAATCGTCATCTTTACTTCATAATAGACGACGGTTTTTATAAAAAGCGTCATCTTTACATATAATAGACGACGTTTTGTATAAAAATCGTCATCTTTACATATAATAGACGACGATTTTTTAATAAAAAGCGTCATCTTTACATATAATAGACGATGATTTTATAAAAAGCGTCATCTTTACATATAATAGAAGACGGTTTGTATAAAAATCGTCATCTTTACATATAATAGACGACGGTTTTTTTATAAAAAGCGTCATCTTGAATATAATAGACGTCCCTTTTTATAAAAATCGTCATCTTTACCTATAATAGAAAACATTTTTTTATAAAAACCGTCGTTAATTATCTGTAAAGAAATGATTTATTATAAAAACCGTCGTCTAATAAGTTTCCAAACTGCTACATTTTAGTTCTTTTTGATTTCCTATGATGCTATACAACGATTTTAACTAGAAAACCAACCATAATGCTTTATTAATGAATATATACACTCAAAAATAGTTTCTTTCATAAAACTTGAAGATTCAATAGTTATTACATAGTTAACCAATCTTTATTCTACAACAAACATAATTCCTAACAAGACCTACGTACTCATAATCCAAGCATTCCTCATCCAAACATACAAATGATGCACAACTGAAGTCTCCTCCATCATTCCTGTAAATAAATCAAAATGACAAAGAGATGAAAAAAAAAAAAAAAAAAAAGCTAAGATTATAAACATGAAAAATTATGTGAAAGAGAAATTTTATCATTGGTCCATATTTCCATTGAAAACTTGTAAAATGAGCATAAAAAAGACCATCGAGAACCTGCAAATTTTCAACAACAAAAAAATATATGACTCACATAGAAAACCTGCAAAAGAAAAAGTTATAAATATGCAAGCTTCATCCTCATCTCCTAATAACTAAATCAGAAAATCCAAAAAGAAACCAGAAATATAAAAAAAATATATGTAAACAAACCAGACAAATCAACATAGACAAAATCTAAAATTAGGGAGACAAAGAACATACCAGAAACGCAAAGAGACTAATCCAGAATTCACTAGCAAGATATAGAAGGGTATTAAGAGATTAGGTGACTTTCAAATCAAACCTTTCAACCAGCTTTAATTCTCAAATACAGAACATCCCTCTACATCTTATGGATCTGCGAAGACCTCAATCTATCAACTTATTCATTGATATCGATTTTTGGATGATTTTGTAGAGAGTTTCATGATGGTGTTTTACAGAGTGCAGGAGGGTTTCAATGAGGGAGAGATAAGGTTTTCAGAGACGGAGGAAAATCTGAAAATTTGTCGAACGCGAATTCACTTAAGTAGCCTTTTTTTAGCGTATTTTAAAAGACGACACTTGTTAATGAGAGATAAGGTTTTCAAATACGGGTGAAAATTTGAAAATTTGTCGAGCGCGAATTCACTTAAGCGGCAATTTCTTATCATATTTTAAAAGACGACGCTTTTTTTTTAAAAAAAAATTGTCATCTTTACATATAATAGACGACGGTTTTTATAAAAAGCGTCATCTTTACATATAATAGACGACGATTTTTTTTATTAAAAGCGTTATCTTTACTTCATAATCGTCGACCTGCAATAAATAAAAGACTAAAAACTCAAAAATAATAAAATAATTAAACAACCAAATACCTTTAGAATCTAACGAAGATTAATCTAACAAAAAAAATCTAAAAAAATTAATTTCAATTAATCTAATTGAAATGCATATCAAATTATCAATTAAACAAATAAATCGGAATTGATCATCTATTCATGTGCTATTGTATTAATCATACAAAATACAAAGAGAGCCAAATCAGTAATAATAATATATATATTTTGTGGTCATAAATTGTGATTTCATTAAATGACTTTAGTAGTGGCAAGGTTCCAAACATTAAAATAGATGCTAAGTGCAGTGATTCTATTGGGTGAATGAAAATGGTAGAGATTATATGGAATTAAATTATAAGGCAGAGTTTTGGGGATTTTACAAACCAAATGGTGGTGTCTTTATTGTATGAAACCAGACTACACGAAACACATCGTTTCATTAAAAAAAACCCACGCATCTCAATCCGACGTCGTTCACTTAA